CTCAACCAATGGTTTGGGGGGGGGGGGTGTTCTTCCACTCTCTAAAAAATGCAAAGTGCTTTACAATCCTAGGTTTTACTTTCTTCACTTGAGCACAAAACGAAACTGGTCTAGAGAACTGCATTGCCTTTTTTTTTTTGGAGAGGAGGAAAAAAGTGCCCCTAAGCCAGGTTTTTAATGGTATATTTGTCATTAGTACAAGTGCCTAGTGACTTTCCACCCCCCACCCCCACAAAAGGACCAAAATAGAAATAGGCTGCTAGATTCTTCTCAGTACCCAAATAACCACCTATTTCTCTTATTGGATCTTTTGAAAATAACATTAGGTATTTTGGTATACCTTTTTAAGTACCTAAATACCTTGTTTAAAATCTGGCCTTAAGGTCATATGTATATTTCTTCTTCCTGAATCCCAGTCTACCATGGGCAACATGATTTTCTTCACTCACACCACCTGGGATGCACTCCCAAGAGAGAGCATGGCCCCAGTGGTGGCACATGGAACCACTCATGGTTACTCCTGAGCTTTTTTTTTTTTTACATAGTCTAATTATAAGAGTCGGGAGTGACCCACTGGAAGATGGTTGATGCAGGGTTGGGAAAGGGAAGATGCAGGTTAAGGATGCTTGCAGATGCTAAGGCTCCCACCCCCCTGCCAAAAGTGTTTTATCTGATTAAGCAGCACGTTATTTTGACCTGGCCCTGCAGCGTCTGTATTGATTAAGCACTTCAGCAAGGCTTTTTGGTGCTTTTATCTAAAGCTGAGTCAATTGGCTATTAGATAAGTGCCAAAAAAGCCCCATTAAAGTGGGGCTCTACAGATGTTAAGGAAGCCAGGTCCAACTAATGCGCAGCCTCTTCTGGGCATGTGCTTGGTTCAGCGCAGAGATGCACGGAGTTTAAAGTAGTGCCAGTTTTGTTTGTTTTTAACATCAGCAAGCAGCCATTGCAAATCGGGTTCTTTTTGAAGATGTTGTTTAGGTTTCTGTGACTTTTACCTGAAGTCATCTGGAAATCTATAGCAAACTGAAAATAGAACATCATTTTCTTGATTATTACACTACTGTAATTTATTGATCAAGTTATGCACTATAAGGAGTAAATAACCATTCCGAATATCAAGCACTTGCCTGATATGCTTGCAAGTCTGTGCTGATGTATGTTTTTACAGTTTAGTATAAAAATGCAAAGATTCAGACTTTTCATAGTCTCTTTCCCTTTTCTTTCCAGGTCGATGAGATAATGCTTACCCTGAAACAAGCCTTTAGCACTGCTGCAGCTCTACAGAATGCCAAGACTCAGATTAAACTCTGTGAGGCCTGTCCTATGCACTCCTTACATAAACTCTGTGAAAGAATCGAAGGTAGCAACTTTCTTAAATCAGATATGTTTTTGTTTTCTTTTTCTTTTGAAGCTTCACAGCACATTAACTGTTACTTTCACTGGACTCTACTGTGTGCTCTGAACTTGTGTTGGTTGTCTTACTCATTTGAGTCTTAATAGCATTTGAACTCCCATGGCTGTAGACAAGTTAAGTAGTCTACCACTTATTTAATAGTATATTTATATAATGAAATGTTGATTCTTGTAATTTATTTTCTAAACTGGTCCATTAAGTTCTTGTTGCTAAATATTATACTTCTCTCAAGTGTTTTTTCTTCTTTTCTTTTTTTTTTTAATATGGGGAGAATTGTTGTGTGTATTGCTTTGAACAGTTTTGAAGCCCATATTCTGGTCAAGGAAGGGACAGCGATGAAACCTGTGGCTTTGAGATTTTTCTGTTCTGCTGTTTTTTTCCCTTGCTAGAGTCCAAAAGAAAAACCACCAGTCTTTCACATATTTCACTGCCTAAATGTCAAACATTTAGAATTGCTGTCTGGCGTCAGTTTGGTGCACATTATTTCCACTAAAGTTAAAAGGAAACTAAGTATGACACAATATAATTCTTAATAACACTTTACAACAACATTAAAAATAAACCTTTGTTACCCAAGTCTGATGTACTCTATTCTTTTGAAAGCAGTGGTGCATGGATTCAAACTAGTATATTACAGCAAACAGGCCTTCCCTTATAATTGTCTGGAGATACTGTAATAAACTATACAGTAGCTGTTCTTTGTCAAATAGTATCGTTTACTTTCTTAGGTGAATGAAAAGTATGAGAAATCTTGGCCAGGAAACAATTTTGTAATGAAGTACTGAATGGATATATGTCTCCCATCTGAGCAGTAGAAGTGTTCAGCAGTAGCAAAGTTTTCTTAGAAATTCTCCATCTTACTCTATGCAAAGCTAAACTGATAGGAAACCGCTTTATTCCACTGATGCATATCAAACAACTCTTAAAATGTTGCATCGTAACTCCTCCTTTTTGAAAGCAACTAATACATTGTTTGGGGTCTTTAGGTTTCCAGGATATAGGATGCCTCATCTTAGCAAGGGTGTTTGTGTGTGTGTTTGTGTGTGTGTGTGTGTGTGTGTGTGTGTTTGTTGGGGGAGAGGGGGATAAAGACAGAACCACCAATCATCTGAAAACCAGACATGTTTGTCAACTTGAGTACTCAAAAAGTGGTTTCTGAAAACTTTAGCCTGAGACTTCAAAACATAGCAAGTGTTTTTGGGTTTCTGCCCCCTTTGTGAGGCTGAGCTGTAGACAAAGCAGAAGCTTGTCAACTTTAAGGCTGGCAAGGATTTCTGTTAAGGCTGCCTAACACTTTTTTTTTTAATAACCAACATCTTCACTTGCTTGTTGCTTTCCTGTTCCTTAACCACTCAAATTGAGCATTTCCATGCTAAGTGCTCATCTGCATCTGTAACCATTTTTTTTTTTCTTTTCCCTTTTTTTTTCCTCCGAAAAGAAAAAACCTTTCCAAAATGGGGATTGGGAAAAATATGATGCTTGGCCAAAATTTATTTCTTAACATTAAAACTTCTTAACATACAGGCACACCAGGAGACATTACTTTTTGGAGCTGGATTTTTAAATGTACTGGGGCTTCCCTGGAGTATATCACCCTGTGCAAAGCTACAAACATTTGGCTGAGTTGGAAGTCTTTATGAATTTGTTTGCATAGAAGTTGATATAGGCCCTAAGCTTTTGAGGTTGAGCAAGATTCTTCCTGCAGCTGGAGTCACTATGGCACAGGAACAGTAAATAGGGAGACTGTCTTTTGTCTTTGCCTTCTGTGACAGCAGAGGGATCATTTAAAGAGGGCAGACAGAGGAAAAAATCAACCTGACTTGTTTACAGAGTAGAGCAGGTTGGGAGCAAGATGGGGAGGGGTGGGGGGGGAGGAGGAAGAGGTTTTCTTTTATATAGGGATCTACAAACTGAAGGACCCTCCCTCACTGGATTTCTTGCCCCTTATTTTAATAAGGTATTAACTTTTTATATTCAGTGTGATTTTTGTAAGAAAGGGGGTCCTATGCTTTAACTATATGTTGACAATATTGTGCACAGTTACCCCACGTGAGCAGATTTAACTGGGGAGGGCCAATTGAAAAAACTAGTTATGTTTGATTTTACTATCACTTTTATATTCCAATTTGTTTTTGAAAAGTGTATCATCTCAAATGCTATAGCTGGATGGACAATGAAAGAATAACAGGGTATTCTCACTTAGTAGTGCTAAGAAGATCTACTAAATGTTTGTTTGTCTCCCTTCCACACCCCTAGGTCTTTACCCACCGAGAGCCAAACTTGTCATTCAGAGACACCTGTCATCACTTACTGATAATGAACAAGCAGACATTTTTGAACGTGTTCAGGTAAGGTAGAAGTTGCTGCCTTCTCTGTCAATGGACTAATATTTTTAAGTTGGTAAATATGCATATTCTCCTTCTAAGGTGTAATTTGAAAACCTACGTGCATTTTCATGAACTGTTGAGTTCATGTGTCAAACCTTTACTGTAATAAAGGGCATGTTTTACATGT